CTCGCACCTGCGCTTCTTAAAGATGTTGTTTGATGCGGAGCAGAGTCAGCAGCTAGATTTGTTGTGAGATTATTAAAAGAAGCTGGTTCTCTTATCTTTACAGTATATAAAGTTTGTGGATGTCATTGCATTGGTGATTAAATGCTATTTTATTTGAATAATGATTGTAAATCTGACTTTTAAAGTCAGTGCCTCCCCAATCACAAACCTCACCGCACGTCCCTGCTCTGGTCATACGCATGACGCAAGGCTGTACAGTTACATTATTTGGACAATCATTTACCCACAGAAATCTCAACACATCTCTATCATTTTTATTTATCAAAATTTGCAAAAATGCTTTAGAGATGTCTGCCATAAAGGCGATGGGATTTTGTCTAAATTGTAACAAAACACCAAGTAGGTCAGGATTTAAATTAGGGCCTGTCAAAAGGCAGTCATTGAGCGAAAGGCACTCGGGGGCATGAGAGGAGGCATCGAATACCAGCCGAAGCCTCGTAGTGACGCGCTCTTCTTTAATTACCGCACAATGTGGCATGTAATATACATTTGTCTCATTAACATCACTTTTTACTGGCTCTACTATTCCTTGTTTTACATAGTCTTGAATAACTGCATTATAATCGTCATAAAGACAAACATTGCGCCTATATTTTTTAATCAAATGATCAAAGCGCGCTTTTGCAATTTCATAATTGGACGACAGTTCTTTCTTTTCAATTTTCCACGGCAAAGACACTTCGTAACGTCCGTCTTTATATTGTATGGAATTTTCAAACATTTTTATTGCATCATCATCAGTTTTGGATTCCTTTTCCATGGCAATTCCGATTGATTCTAGCTCCCAAAAAGAGCGTAAAGTGTGATTCATTTCATTTTCAAGTCCCACGCTCACGTGCAGTGTTTGCATTTCATCTCGTTCACATGATACTGTATTGGACATAACTGTGCCTTGGATGAGCCATCCGAATTTGCTTTCAAGTGCAACCATTTTCTTTGACAGTCGTTCAACTTTTCCTTAAACAATATCCCAATAATTGTCTCCACCAATAACACTCAGAGTTCCTCAGTCTCCATTCCACTCACCGCTTCATCTGCTAACTGCATGTCTCTTTTATCCAGCTCTGCGCGCACCTCATCTCCAACTATTTGCATGATAGAAGTGCAAACATGGGGGGTTTTGAGCACACTGATTTCAATGCTTTGTCCGTTTCTTATGTTGCTCAGTTTTATTTTTACAACATTGCATTTCACTTGTTTGGGACCATCAGAACCAAATGTATGTAAATTCAGTGTCTCTTCCCCGATTTTGGGCAGGTTTAGGGCACGGGCGATGTCTTTTAGCACGAAGCTGCGTTGGCTTCCTCCATTGAACAGGCAGCGAGTTAGTCGTCTTTTAGCAGTCGTTTCAATCCACACTGTGGCGGTTTGGAGCAGAACAGTTCCCCGTTTTGATTCACTCGGGGATATTGAAATAATTGTGTCTGTTGGATCATTTTCATGTCGGCTTTCGTTGTTGAGGGTGCACATTGATTTGAAGTGACAACGATTACATCTTTCACAATTTATGCCTTTGGTTCGGCAATCTTTGGCAACATGTCTTGTTCCGAAACAAATAAAGCATCTTCCTTTTCCCTTTAATTTTTCACGTTTTTCTGGCACACTCATTTCATTGTAATCCTTTGACACATGATCATTTTTATCACAGAAGAAACACTGGTTGCGTTCATAAAAAGGCCGTTGAAATTGCTGTGTAGAATAAAGTGCTGATGCAGTTGACATTTGATTTGATCTTTTGCGCATTTCCCAATGACTTTGTTGGTCTCCTTCTCGCTCCTTGCGCTCTCGTGTGCCTCTTGTCATGTTTGCAGTGCACTCTCGGCTTTCCACTTCAATCTTTAAAAATTCAATCAATTCATTAGTTTTCCAGACATCGTCCTTTGCAACATCTGTGAGATTTCATAACACTTTGAAGCAACTTTTGTTAAAGTTAAACTCATCATTCTATCAATGTGCAGAAGCCAGTACTTTTCCCTTGTTTTGTCTATCTGAAGGCCAAGCTACAAGCACACCGTGGAAGCTGCTGATTGGAGGTCTCCATGCCTCTGCTCTGTATAATACACTTGCATTCTATTGTATCTGTGATCGTGTGCTTTGATCGTGCTGTCTCTACCATCGACAATAAAACATGTCTTCTGTCTGAATGAAAGACGCGATCCCAGACTATGCCATCTTCTTCAGGTGGTGGAAGGATGCGGGCCTTGTCTGTAACATCTAGAGAACAGAAGACTTTTTTTTTTTTTTTACACAAAAAGTGTTTTTTTAAGCCAAAACTGAGAAACCTCAAGAGAAACCATGCATCTGGACCAGCACACTTGGACTATCTGCACAGCCCCTGATTCCAGTCAGGCTGTGAGCTGCTGAGACATGGACAACACCAGCGTCCTCTTTTGCAAGGACATAATTTGGAACAATCTGGACATAATTTGGACTGAATTGAATTGCTGAATCTGGACACTGAAGCTGAAACGTGTGATTGAAAGACACGTCACAGAAGAATTCATGGCTCGACACAACAAATGCAGCTGAAGAATCCAACACGGAGAAGTGGGAGAGACTGTTTTCAAAGCAATATCTGGAACCACCATCGACTGATGAAGTTTGGTATTTTACTGAAGATTGTTGACAAGTTTTATGAAAGATCTGAAAATGTTTTATGAGTTTTCTGAGTTTTTGAAGTATTCCGAGTTCTGAGTTTTTTGAAGTACCGAGTGAAGTATGAGTTTTGAAGTATTGAGTGATGATGTTATGTTGCTGTTTATCGATCCTGATGGTCACACGTGAATGTATGACCAGAGGGGGGAATGTGAGATGTGAGAACACTTTGAAGCAACTTTTGTTAAAGTTAAACTCATCATTCTATCAATGTGCAGAAGCCAGTACTTTTCCCTTGTTTTGTCTATCTGAAGGCCAAGCTACAAGCACACCGTGGAAGCTGCTGATTGGAGGTCTCCATGCCTCTGCTCTGTATAATACACTTGCATTCTATTGTATCTGTGATCGTGTGCTTTGTTCGTGCTGTCTCTACCATCGACAATAAAACATGTCTTCTGTCTGAATTTAAGACGCGATCCCAGACTATGCCATCTTCTTCACATCTTTACTGAAATTTAAAATCATTTCCTCAGGGATCAACTTTGTTAAAATAGGACACAGTAAACTGCCGTAAGCCTCAGAAACAACTCCCATCGATGAAAGGCTTCGGATTTGTATTTCACAGTCGTCGTACAGGGTTCTGAGTTCATTCATTCACATTTTTCACAGGATTTAAATTGAGCAGTTTAGTCATATGTGCATTAATTATTAAATCTTTCCGTCCAAATCTGTTATGGAGTAATTCAGTGGCATTGTCATAGTTGGACTCTGATAAGGACAATCCCGCGACGACGTTGGCAGCTGCACCTGCCAGGTATGACCTTAAATAGCTGAATTTGTCCGTTTTCGTTAGATTTGGATTTTTATGCACTGCGCTCTCAAACTGTTCCCAAAAATATTTCCATTTGCTCATTCACGAGAATTTGTCAATCACGAGTTTGGGCAACTTCACATTTTGGTACACAGGCTCTCCGTCATACATGGATGGACTTTCTGGTGGTTCTCTGACAGCTCTTTTAATCTTTGTTTTCTTGCGTATTATGACTTCTTTGTACTCCTGCGATCTTGACACTTCATTTTCCAATTCCTCTACTGGAATAACACTTTCAACGTCTTCATCCATTTTCGTTAAACACTTTTCTTTATCAATTATGATTTCAAGCATTTCCTTTGTTTGCACATTTCTTCATCAATTTTACTTATCACTTTGGGCGGCACGGTGGCTGAGTGGATAGCACTCTTGCCTCTCAGCAAGAAGGTCCTGGGTTCGAATCCCGGTCGGACCAGGGCCTTTCTGAGTGGAGTTTGCATGTTCTCCCCGTGTCTGCGTAGGTTTCCTCCGGGTACTCCGGTTTCCCCTACCACTAAAAATATGTCCAATAGTTCTAGCATGCGCCTCCTGTACCGGCGACCCCGCTCCCATCTCTGTGTGGAGTGAGAGATAAATGCCCATAATTAACAATTGTAAACCGCTTTGAGACTCTGATCTGCAGTGAAAAGGCGGTATATAAATAAAGATTACTTACTACTACTTACTACTACTTTGCTGAGGGAGGTTCGGATGGACGCTCTCTTTTTCTTCAGACGTTCCAGTTCCATCTTGCTTTGTTTGTCCGCGCGGTCCTCTTCTGCAAACTATGGACTTTTCTTTGTTGTCCCGGGTTTTCGGCACCAAAATATTGCAGTAATGACCCAAATTACGGACGAACACAAGGCAGGAGTGTCTTTTCTTATTTTATTATAAGTTTGACTTCTCTCAGTGAGCACGAGTCATTGTTCATTTTCATTCACACACGTTCAAAAAATCATTGATAAAAAGGAAAAAGGGCACCACCCACAACGGCCATTGGAAGGGGCCGACTGGGAGGAGCGCGTTTCCTGCTGTGAGGTGCGCTCGTTATGAGCGCCTAGATGATAGCGTGCGGCGCGTTTGGATAGCCGCAACAGCTCTCGCTCCTCAGCTCTACCGCTGCTGCTTCGCCTCCGCGCTGCAGCGCCGCAGGTGTTTTACAAACTCAATTTACTCAAAAACTTTCAATATAACCACACCCACAAATGCTGCTCATATCACAGGCACACATGTCCACTAACCCCTGGTGAAAAGTATTAACACGATTCTGCACCACATTTTTACATACAGCCTGTTTAAGTGAGCAATGTTGCTTGTCGCAATATTGCGACTTTGGCGCTTAAAGGGTTAAAATATACTTCTTTGGGTTTCTGTGGAACTGGACATTTAACATAATCACATCTAATGGATTTAATATTTCGACTTTTAAATTCATACCAATTCTTGTGTCCTAAGAGACAAAAGAAAATTTGTGTAGTTAGAACAGTTAAAAGAGATGTTTCAGCCACAATGCTATTGCCCTTTGGACCATGCTGATCTCTGTGTGTCTCAGATCGTGCTACCGGCCGTGTTCGTCCTGGTTGCTCTGCTCTTCAGTTTCATTGTTCCTCCGTTTGGGAAATACCCAGCGCTACAACTGCAGCCCTGGATGTATGGAGAGCAGTTCACCTTTTTCAGGTCAGACACACACACTCATTTTCACACACACATTCACACAAATACACACATGCTCACCCTCACGCAAACATGCTGGCAGTTTTTAAATCTACAAATTCTTCCTGGGGAGTGAAATCTGGGCATCTCTGCTTGGACGGCTGCCCCCTGGTGACACGGATAAAGCAGAAGAAATGGATGGATGGAGTGCACTTTCTGTTTAGACATGTGTTTTTTTAATGTAAAAACAATATTTGATGAACCCCAGCTTTCAGAACTTTAAGGGTCGTCTCCTCTCTCTGCAGCCATGACGCCCCTGGAGACCCCTCCATGGAGAACCTCCTGGAGGCTCGGCTGGACCAGCCGGGGTTTGGGACCAAGTGCATGGACACGGCCGACCAAGGGGAGCCCAGGTCAGTCTAGAACCTTGTGAATTTTGACCCATCTGTTGACACGAGACGACAGCGGGAAAGGTTGGAGTGAAAGAGTGAAACTGAACTTACAACTTTTAAAATGTATCTTCTAAAGTCACACAGTGAGTTGAAAAGATACGTGAGAGAGAGAGACGTGAGAGAGAGACGTGGGAGAGAGACGTGAGAGAGAGACGTGAGAGAGAGACGTGAGAGAGAGACCAGAGAGAATCACATCATATTGGACTCAGTCGTTTTGACACAGCAGCCTGTGTTGCTCAGTGGCCAATAGGGTTTGTCGTTGTTTTTCCTCGATGTGAATGCGGCTTTAGACTTTGCTCTTGCCGCAGGAGTCCTGAGTGCAACACGGACTACGGCTCGCTGTGAGCCAGACTCATCAGCTTGTTCTCATACTAAATAAATTGCGTTTACTTCACAGCATGTGTACATTGATTTTGTTACCCAGTAGTAGAAAGTTACTACTCATACAAATAATATTACTAATAACAATAAAACAGCAGCAGCAGCAGCTATGACTTCTTTCCATGACAGAGACAGACCAGCTGCTGCTGCTGATGCTCCTCGTCTCCTGATTGGTTGAAGCCCGGCGTCAAAGCTTCAAAAGCTCAGCTTTGCTCAACTTTGGTGTAGAGGGATTTTTTGACGCTGAAAGCGACGCGAGCGTTACGCGCGTCAAAAGCTTCAAGTGGTGCGCGTATTACTCGCGTCTTTTGACGAGCGTCCCGCCGGGCCTCTCGGCGTCACCTGACACGCTTCATCATTCGCTCAACGTGCCCGATTCCACCTGCAGGTGGATCACTGACTTCCTGACGGACAGGAAGCAGCGAGTGCGTCTGGGGAAGAATGTCTCGGACTCTCGGATTATAAATACAGGAGCCCCACAGGGCTGTGTTCTTTCTCCCCTGCTCTTCTCCCTGTACACCAACCACTGCACCTCCAGCCACGACTCCGTGAAGCTGATCAAGTTCGCGGACGACACCACCCTCATTGGACTCATCTCCAACAACGATGAGTCCGCCTACAGGAGGGAGGTGGACCGGCTGGTGTCCTGGTGCAGTGGTAACAACCTGGAGCTGAACGCCCAGAAGACAGTGGAGATGATTGTGGACTTCAGGAAGAGCACTGTCCCCCCGCCCCCACCCTCCGTGATGGACTCCCCCATCACCTCTGTGGAGTCCTTCCGTTTCCTGGGCACCACCATCACCCAGGACCTCAAGTGGGAGCCGACCATCAGCTCCCTCATCAAGAAGGCCCAGCAGAGGATGTACTTCCTGCGGCAGCTCAGGAAAGCCAAGCTGCCTGCACAGATGTTGGTGCAGTTCTACACGGCCATCATCGAGTCCATCCTCACCTCCTCCATCACCGTGTGGTTCGCTGGAGCCACAGTCAGGGACAAACAGAGACTACAGCGCATTGTGCGCTCTGCAGAGGAAGTGATCGGCCGCAGCCTTCCATCGCTGCAGGACCTGTACGTCGCCCGAGCTCGAGGCCGGGCTGGTCGTATCACAGCCGACCCCTCTCACCCTGCACATGGACTATTCCAACCACTCCCCTCAGGCAGGAGGCTGCGGTCCATCAGGACTAGAACCTCCCGCCACAAGAACAGTTTCTTCCCCTCTGCTGTTGGACTCTTGAACACTTCTTAACCTGTCCCCCCGCCCTTTATAAAGTCACTTTACTGCCCATCATACGTCACTTTACTTCACTGTACTGCTGTCACCTTACATTGTGTGCACCATGTGCACTTGTATATTGTAAATAGTAACTGTAACTCTATTTTAAATTTAAATTTATTCTTTAGAAGTGTTTTTTATTCTTATTTTTATTATCTCTTTTTGACTGTTGCACTGAGCCAAAGCAATTTCCAAGTCTGTGACCTCCCGTTACTTACGTTGGCAATAAAAATGATTCTGATTCTGATTCTGATTCTGATTTCAATGCAAACCTGACGCTTTTGAAGTCGAAGTCAAGTCCGGTGTGAAAGCCCCTTTAGAGTTTTAAAGAATCTTTAAACAACATCATTATTTTGGAAATATAGGGGTTTAGTGTTCAAATATAGCTCCGTATTTTGTATCAGTGGATGATGAGGACAATACCCTGGGTTTCAATATTATAATACACAATAATTTTCTCCAAATATTACATTTGTAATTAAAATGTAAAATCTCTACCAGGATATATACTGTTTATAATTTTAAATTATACTTCTTCGGCTTTCTTTGGAACTGGAAATTAAATTTAATTTAATATAATGGATTTATTATTTCGACTGGTAAATTCTTAGCAATTCTTTCTTTCTAAGAGACAAAGGAAAATGTGTGTTTGTTAGAACAGTTCTAAAATATTTGCTATCACATCTCTTATCCCCAAAGGGGCATTCCTGGACTTCTGCAACACATCCTAAATAAAGACATCCTTTATTTGTCCCACAGCGGGGAATTTTCAGTGTTGCATCACAAGTTGCAGAACAGTAGGAACGAGGAGCATGCAGCACAAGATAAATGCACAAAGTTACCAAACATCTGCTTCAGGAGGAGCGACACATGCTTCGGAGCGTCTGAATTGTTTGCCCACCACCTCTGAGACCGACTCACTGAACCCCTAGGGTTCAATCGATTCCAAGTTAAGAACCACTGCTTTACAGTACAAACAATAGATCAGAGATTCAAATAGTTGGAACACAGGAATTGCAATAAAAACGCATAGAAGTCATAGATCCATAGGGAGTGGGATGACCATTGTCCAGAAATGTCCTGGATCATCAAAGTCGTTTGACTCTTCCTGCATCTGCAAGAAAGACTCAAAAACCCAGTGGAAAATAACATTGTTACACCTGGAAGAGGCCCATCTTGAGAGACAAACAAAAAGTAAACGCAGGACTGCGTCTGTAGATCCAGGTCTGAGGCTGTAGATCCAGGTCTGAGGCTGTAGACCCAGGTCTGAGGCTGTAGACCCAGGTCTGAGGCTGTAGACCCAGGTCTGAGGCTGTAGATCCAGGTCTGAGGCTGTAGATCCAGGTCTGAGGCTGTAGACCCAGGTCTGAGGCTGTAGACCCAGGTCTGAGGCTGTAGACCCAGGTCCGAGGCTGTAGACCCAGGTCTGAGGCTGTAGATCCAGGTCTGAGGCTGTAGGCCCAGGTCTGAGGCTGTAGATCCAGGTCTGAGGCTGTAGATCCAGGTCTGAGGCTGTAGATCCAGGTATGAGGCTTTAGATCCAGGACTGAAGCGGGTGACCCAGGACTAAGTACCTTCCAGTGAATACCTCTCCCCTGCCTCTCGTTGACCCTGTAACTGTGTGCTGAAGGGGAAGCCTCGTCTAGAAGTGAGACCAAACCACTTAAGTATTTATTCATACATTTACATAATCCAAAGTATCTTTTGTTCAAACTGTCCTTTGAACATCTCTAACGTCATCTTGAGGAGGTTTTCACGGCAGTAAATAATTCTCTCCAGAGTTTTCCCTTAATTTAAGTGAAAGCAGGAGCTGCCTCATTGATGGTCCATGTTCTCGTTGTCGTAGACGTCTGAAAAAAGGCAGAATTCTGGTCACATGACTGCAGCGTAGATCTCACACTCAGAATCCAAGCATGGCACTCACCGCTGGGATATTCCACTTCATCGTAGACGTCGCCCTCACTGCAAAAGACACGGACATTAAAGCTGGGGAACTTAAAGTAGCAGTATGTAATAGTTGCATGTCAAGTCATCATTAAATGGCCCCATATTTCAAAAGGCGTTATTAAATCATGCTCTTTTCGAATACATCTTTAACTGATAACAGTAGTTCAGCCGAGATATTTATCAAAATTATCAAAATTAGTTTTACGACCCGTAAAAGTTTTTATTGTTTTGATTTTGATGTCCTGCCCTCCGCCGTTTCGCCAATCAGGAAGTGTCATGTAAGTCCGTGATCGGGTTGCCAGAACTCCGCGCAGCTCACTAATCTCAGTGGTAAAATAACATGTGGCCGCAGAACTAAAAAAGGTCTTGTTATGACTCTCAAATAATTAATGACAAAACAAAGACTAAAATGAGGATTTATATCGGGACGCCTTCGAACAATGAGACAGCTGATAAAAGTTTACGTGTGATGCAGAATTTCCTGCTTCGAGGCTGTTCTTCAAAATAATGTTCCGTGCGAAATCGGTGATCTAGTGGATTAAACTACGCGCTCACAAACCAGTAACTCAGGTTCGATTCTGGACAGAGCCTTTTTGTATTTAATTGCATTTTATCACATTCTAGGACAGATTGCTCTAAAAACGGTAAAAGACGAAGGTCAAGACGTTTTTTTGCAGATTATAGCTTAATTGTAAAAATAATAATTTAAGACCACATGTACCCCAATTAAAACAATGTTAGTCTCTTTTGGATGTGGGACTTTTACATGTTTGTCTACAAAATGGGGGATAAATAAAATGTAAAGGTGATATCCTCTTGAGCAAACCCTGATGTTGATACGCTGAAGAAATACGTTCCAACATTCATTCTTCCCACTCCTATTTTGGACATCAATTGCTTATTTATTTTGTATAATCTATAATTACATTGCTTTTATTTTGTTTTGTGTTTTTTATCTCAAATGTCCAAATAAAAAATTAAACATTCATTCAACATTAGCACGGCTCATGGCGATGTGAATGGAGACAGACAAACAACTGATAAAATGATTCCCTGTGTTTGCTGCTGGATTTGGTGTGTATCTGGCAACCTGAGTCAGGGAGAGTGGGAGAGGACTACACAATATTGACTGTGACTGCAGTACCACTTTTGGCCAGATTTTTACAACTTTTCTGCTTCATAATAATCACGTTTGTCCAGAAGAGTCAATGTCATAAGAAAAACTTAGTAAACGTGTTCTCTCTGGTCTCTCCCTATTCTCTCTTGGTCTCTCACTGGCCTCATTCTGGTCTCTCTCTGGTCTCACTTTGGTCTCTCTCTGGTCTCTTTTGGTCTTTCTCTGGCCTCATTCTGGTCTCTCTCTGGTCTCACTTTGGTCTCTCTCTGGTCTCTTTTGGTCTTTCTCTGGCCTCATTCTGGTCTCTCATGGTCTCTCTCTGGTCTCTCTCTCTGGTCTCATTCTGGTCTCTTTTGGTCTCTCTCTGGTCTCTTTTAGTCTCATTCTGGTCTCTCTCTGTCTCTCGGGCCTCTCTCTGGTCTCACTCTGGTCTTTCTGGCCTCTTTCTAGTATCTCTCTGATCTCTCTCTGGTCTCTCCCTAGTCTCTTTTGGTCTCTCACTGGCCTCAATCTGGTCTCTCTCTGGTCTCACTTTGGTCTCTCTCTGGTCTCTCTATGTGGCCTCTTTCCTGATCTCTCTCTGGTCTCATTCTGGTCTCTTGAGCTCTTTCTGGTCTCTTTTGGTCTCATTCTGGTCTCTCTCTGGTGTCTCTCGGACCTCTCTGGTCTCACTCTGGTTGGTCTCTCATTGGCCTCATTCTGGTCTCTCTGGTCTCTCTCTAGTCTCTCTCTGGTCTCTATCTGAAAAAGTTCATCCAAACATATGACAGATTCCATAAGTACATGTAAAAAAACTAGTGACAGAAGCAGACTTTTCTAGAGCCAGGAAGTGGAGACATTGATTTTCTCACACAGTTCTATTGTTGTGGTTGGAAAGTTACGTACCCCAGCTTTAAGATGATAAATAAACGTGTGTAAAGAGCAACTTGAAATATTATGATAAGTTTTACTCACAGCGGCAGCAGATGAGCCTTGTTCACGTAACCGACTGCAACAACACAAGAAATTAGGAAAAGATTCAGATTCCATTGAAGAAAATATTATTTTTGTCCTTTGAAAATTATAAGACAATTTACTTACAGCCCCGTTTCCACCAGTGCTATCTCTACTCTACTATGTTATTTATCTAAACATTTATTTTGTGTAATTTTATTCCTTTGGAGAGACCAGAGAGAGACCAAAGAGTGACCAGAGATGGACCAGCAGGAGAGAGCAGAAAGATACCACAGAGAGCATAGAGACAACAGAAAGACCGAGACCACAGAGAGACCACAGAGAGACCACAGAGAGACCACAGAGAGAGACCAGCGAGAGAGACCAGAGGGAGACCAGCGAGAGAGACCAGCGAGAGAGACCAGCGAGAGAGACCAGCGAGAGAGACCAGCGGGAGAGACCAGCGGGAGAGACCAGTGGGAGAGACCAGCGAGAGAGACCAGCGAGAGAGACCAGCGGGAGAGACCAGCAAGAGAGAGACCAGAGGGGGGACAATATACTTTCCACCTATAACTCTCTTTGCTATCAATACTATGTATATTTTCTAAACATTGATTTTATTTTGTTTTAAATTTTACCCCTTGTTCATTTATCCAATGAATAGATATTAGTTCTGTGCAGTGGTACCTTTCCCGAGGCCGTCGCGGCAGAGGGCCTTCTTGCCGTGGATCTGCAGGACGTCCAGCAGGTCCCCAGGGGCCACGCTCAGGTGTTTGGGACCCGGTTTCTTTATGATTGCACCTGGATCCACCATCATCGTGTGCAGCACCTTCACTGGGCCTTCCAGCTGTGGACACAACCACACAACTCAATGGTGAGGGGGAGACCAATGAAAGGGACCAGAAAGAGAGACCAGAAAGAGAGACCAGAGCAGGACCAGCGAGAGACCAGAGAGAGTATCTTTTAGTGTTTGTGGCTCAGTAGTTGTTTTTGTATCTGGTACTCTATCCTAGTAACCTACCCACAACAAACCAGGGCCAAGCAGGACTAGAAATGTACCTGATACTAGTTAAACAGGGCTGGTTGAAATGCTTCCAGTTGAGGTAGAGTAGGGTTTGTGGAAATTGGGACTTTAGCTCGAACCCCAGTTGTTTAGGCCTACCTTGAACTTTTTCTTCAGCTCCTTCTCGATCTTGGGGTCCATGCTGTGAAACACACCTCAGTTATAACATCTGTGCTCTTAAACAAGTCATTACAAAGAACGTACTTGAATTCAATAGGAGGAGGTGGGAAGTCCACGTCGTCGTAGTTATCTGAGGGAACACAATGTTGTCAACTATAGAAACACTGATTCATATCTTTAAATATTGAAAACTTGATTAAATGTATGTACACAGTGATCCCTCGCTATAAAGCGGTTCAGGTTTCATGACTTCTTGGATTTAGTTTTTCTGTCATTGTGATATATTTTTTACTTGTGTTTCTCATGCGCTGGGTGTTTACTCCAACAACATCATATACAACATTTTCAGAAGAAAACTTTTGAGGCCTGTGTGCACTGCAGTGATTAGTTCAGGGGACTGGTCTCTCTTCTTGGTGTCTCTCTGTGGTTTCTCTTTCTTTGGGTTATCTCTGGTCTCTCTCCTTGGTGCCTCTAATGCATTGTCTCTGTGGTTTCTCTCTTTTTGGTCTCTCCGGTCTCTCTCCTTGATATCTGTTTTCTCTGTCTTTGGTGTATTTCTGGTCTCTCTCTGGTCTGTCTTTCCTGTCTCTCTTTGGTCTTTCTCTGGTCTTTCCTTGGTCTCTCTGGTGTCTCTTTGTTGTCTCTCTGGTGTTTCTCCTATTGCATGTTACTGTTCGTACCAAACGTACCAAAATGAACCAGGGACCACTATAGTCAGAGAAAACATGTGCTTACCATCATCTTCAGGTGCACTGCAAAAGAAAAGATAATATTACATTATTCAGGAGAGTTTTGCGTGTATACTGAGACAGGAGAGGTCTGCATGTATACTGAGACAGGAGAGGTCTGCATGTATACTGAGACAGGAGAGGTCCGCATGTATACTGAGACAGGAGAGGTCTGTATGTATACTGAGACAGGAGAGGTCTGTATGTATACTGAGACAGGAGAGGTCTGCATGTATACTGAGACTAGAGAGGTCTGTATGTATACTGAGACTAGAGAGGTCTGTATGTATACTGAGACAGGAGAGGTCTGCATGTATACTGAGACTAGAGAGGTCTGCATGTATACTGAGACTAGAGAGGTCTGTATGTATACTGAGACAGGAGAGGTCTGCATGTATACTGAGACAGGAGAGGTCTGCATGTATACTGAGACAGGAGAGGTCTGCATGTATACTGAGACTAGAGAGGTCTGCATGTATACTGAGACAGGAGAGGTCCGCATGTATACTGAGACAGGAGAGGTCTGCATGTATACTGAGACTAGAGAGGTCTGCATGTATACTGAATGGTACCTGTGCTGCTGGGAGCTGCTTTGGCTGAGCCCCGGTGGGTCTGGGGGAGGAGGAGGCAGGTCTCCTCCGTCGTATCGCTCCATCCTCCGCAGCAGAGTCGCTCTGCGTTTTATGGCCTCGTAGTCGATGTCCACACAGTTGTTGCTGATGTAGCCGTCTGCACACACAAGCTAACTGTTAAAGCTTGGGGACGTAACTTTCAAACTCTGGATGGAAATGGAATTAATGTGACTAGTTCCTGGCTCTAAAAGGCATGCATGTATTTCTGGCCTCTGTCACATCAGAGAGAGTCCAGAGAGAGAGAGACCCAAGAGAGAAACTAGTGAAAGACCAGAGAGAGAGACACCAGAGTGTATATAAAAAAATCACTTTTGAGGCACTGTAGTGATTAGTTCAGGGGACTGGTCTCTCTCTGGCCTCTCTGGTCTCTCTCATTAGTCTCTCTTGTCTCTGGTGCATGGTCTCTGTGGTTTCTCTCTGGTCTCTCTCTGATAAACATACCAGAGAGAAATATAGATGTAGATACATAGATAGATAGTTATAGTTAATCGATTCCTCATAGAAGAATTTCAGGTGTCCAGTAGCAGAAACAAATAAATACGAATAAAGAGGTAGTTGATAAATCTCCACTCACAGTTTCCTGATGAGGAGCGTGCTAACCACTTCCCCTCAGGGTTGTCCTTGACCCTGATGATGTCCACGCGGGCCCCCTGCCTCACGCTCAGGTCCAGTTTACTGCTCCCAGACCAGTCCTGGCGCACACTGGCTGTATGCAGCACATCCACGGGCAACTGGAGCTGGGGACGGCAGAGAAAACACATCACCCCAGGGTTTAAAGAACCATATACAAGTAAGAACTCATCACCCTGGTGTTCAAACAAGTATAAAGGACTGGAAACACATCACCCCAGGGTTTTAACCTGTCTGAATTCAACATAGAACACATTATCCCTGTGTTTTAATGATGATATAAGTCTTAAAACACATCTCCTCAGTGTTAAAACCGGTCTAAATTAAACAGAATATATCGGCCCTGGCTTAAAGCTGGGGTACCTAACTTTCAAAGCACAATAGAACAATGCAATGAAATCCATGTCACAAGTTCCTGGCTCTAAAACGGTTTTTGTGTTTTTTGGCCTCTGTCACGTCTTTAGTTTAGCTTTTTCGGACAGATGTGCAAGCTAACGGTACAAACGGCTATATAAGGAAATTAGCCCCAGCTAGCTTATGTTCAAAACGGCACCACACTATGGTGATGTCACACTCGATCTGTCCACTTCTTACATACGGTCTATGGTTGTAACACAAGGCCCTCATTTCATTCTCCCATCACTAATGTAAACAATGTATGTATTTGTTACCTGGAAGTTCTTGCGCAGCTGTTCTGCACTCCTCTGCCTCTCCTGCTGCTCCCTCCTCTCCTGCTCCTCCTGCTTCTTCATCCCCCTCCTCTCCTGCTCTTCCTGCTTCTTCACCTCCCTCCTGTTTGGTTTCCCTTCAGGCGCCTCCACTCTGGGCGACGCTGGCTCCGGGATTTTCTCCATCAGATTCCTGCGGGGACAGAGCTCTCGTCACCGGCGGCCTCTCTCTGTTTACCACCTGTCCACAAAGGTTAGATTTGTGTACTGTGTGTCTGCAACTTCTCCAGAATTACCATGAGCCTCGTGTCTGCATCTGTGATCAGTGTTGTCCTTGTTTGAGCTGTGTGTTGCCCTGTGACGGCCCTGTCTTGGTAAATTTTTCTTGGTGTTTGCATTCTCTTTCCATGCTTGGGCGATTATGAGATGTTCAATGCATGGCAAATGTTTGTATGACCTCAACATCTAAATATCTTCCTCCCTGACCTCTGTGCTCCTTGGACCTACAGCCTCAGTTCTAGACCTACATCCTCAGTCCTGGATCTACAGCCTCAGTCCTGGACCTACAGCTTCAGTCCTGGACCTACATCCTCAGTCCTGGACCTACATCCTGGACCTACAGCCTCAGTCCTGGACCTACATCCTGGACCTACAGCCTCAGTCCTGGACCTACATCCTGGACCAACATCCTCAGTCCTGGACCTACATCCTGGACCTACGGCCTCAGTCCTGGACCTACGGCCTCAGTCCTGGACCTACATCCTCAGTCCTGGACCAACAGCCTGTCGGTCCATGGGAGTGGATCCCTCTCTTATTGTGGGCCTCCCCCACTCAAGTCGTTCCTTGCCGATGCAGGAAGGTCTAAGGACATTTATGAACATTTCTGGACAGTGGTTGTCCCGCTCCAAATGGACCAAAGGCTCCTGTGTGCTTGTTATGATTGCCTTTTGTGTGTTCAAACAGTTGAGGTTGTGACATGACCAAATGTGGACATTTTTCTAGCAGTATGAATACTTTTTCAAGCCACAGTTTAAAGATGCAGTGTAAGTTAGCTTAGCGTTAGCATCCAAGTAGCACAGAGTCAAAACCATGCATCCCATTGGTTTCTTTCTATCGGCCTGCTCCATTTTATATTTTATATTTTGAGGCTACAGGCATCTGGTCATGTCCATTCCTATTTGAAAACACTTGATAACTTGACTACTTTTAGGGTTCCCCACAGTATTTTAAACATTGCGTCTGGACTGCATCTTAAATGTACTTCTCCATGCCAGAAAATGTTCCACAATGTCTTGTAACTATTCACTTCTCTGTCAGTGAGTTTTGTTGGGGGAATGAGTCTCAGTTTCTGTTGTGTGGCTGCAAACGTCTCAAAGAAATAACACCACATCACGTGAGCGAGGAGTGTACTCACGCGTCTATGTCCTCGTAAATTTCCTCGTCCTGAGAAAAGACAAACACGACTCAAACGCTGAAGGGCGAAGCATTTATGTGGGAGAAAACACAAAACCATGGACCTATATTCACATTTTAACATCACTGGGGAGTTCTCAAACCTACAGTTCAGGCATGGTGGCCCAGGAATGGACAGGAGCTGGAGGCTTTTTTCCACGATGTACGGGCAGCTTTGCCATCAGAGAGGATACAGAGAGACACTGTGAGACCAGAGAGAGGCCAGAGACCAGACAGAGAAAGACCAGAGAGACACTGAGAGCAGAGATAAGCCAGACCAGAGGGAGAGGAGAGAGACTGTGAAGACCAGAGAGAGACCAGAGAGTTTAGGGAGAGAGACCGGAGATTGACAAAATAGACCAGAGAGAGAGACCAGACCCCCGAGAGAGACCAGACCCCAGACAGAGACCAGAGAGTATAAAGAACTTAATCTACAACAACTGACATAGATTTTTAAAGGGCAACACATGCTATTGAGAACTGGGGGTGGAAACTTCTGATCAGGGTCTGAAAGGGAATTTCTGACCTCAATATGGTTCATAATCTCATAAATAGGGACCAGAAATCCACATTTGTGTCTGGGTGCGTACACTGTTTAGCACAGGTGTCTCCAACCTTTTTCACCCAGAGAGCTTCTTTACGGCGACAATAACGGCAGAGAGCTACTCCTTTAAGCTGCCCTGGCAAAAATGTGGTGATATATTGGTGTGAACTAGTTTCATATTGGGTACAGTCATTATTCATCATCGCATATCTGTTCCTAGTGCACAAAGTAAGAATATAATGAATAATACAATCTGAAATAGTTAGTATATTATTAATTTTGTTCATTTCTAAATCCTTTGGCGAGCTACATGGAAGGAGGTGGCGAGCTACTGGTGGCTCCCGAGCTACAGGTTGGAGACCCCTGGTTTAGCAGGTTTAGCAGGTTTACCGTTCTTACCTCCTCTTTGTCCTGTGAACTAGTGTTACTCCAGGAATCTAAGGAAAGAGGGAAACGGTAGATTATAAACTGCTACAATATTTAGCATCCTTGAGAGAAGAACACACTTTAGAATCTGGTAGAAGGAATCGAAATGAGACTAGATGGAGTAGAGCTGAGGAGGGTTGGGGTTCCTTTAGCCCCGTTTCCACCAGCCCTATTTTTCTCTACTCCTTTAGTCCGTCTTGGCCCTGGTACTAAAGAGGTCTAATGGAGTAGAGTAGGGCTGGTGGAAAGAGGATTATAGACCATATAAGTGTGGACTGAGTTCCCCCACAAATGAAGACACCTGACTTAGAAAAAATCAAAATATAAACACCAGGAACAAAGATAGCACTAAATCACAGTTGTTTTAAACCCAAAATGATGGAGGAGTTTACTTTTCAATGTAAGTCGATAGGAGCCAGAGCGAATTGGCGCAAAACCCTGTCCACAAGCATTTCCCTATTGGGTTTCATTGGGCTAGCAGATTAGCATTGTCCATACAGTCTATGAGCCAATCTGAGGAGACGGGAGGAGAGAGGAGCTGGTGGAAATGGGTCTCATGTGTTGTCTGTCTCATATGGTCATCATTCAGACTCTGAAGTGGGATTCTCACCGTTCATCTCTAAACTGCCGATGTCGTCATACAGTTCCTGGTCCTTGATCTGGTCCCTGTGGAGAGAGCAGATCCACGGAGTCCATCACACATGTGGGAAAAGAATGGCTGCAAACGCTGGGTCCAAGATGGTGTTTTACAGGCCTATACTTTGGTCCCTAAAGCCAAAATTAAGAGGCACTTACAGCTATTTATGTATGGGTTGTGTGCTCTTACGACTGTCATGTATGTGGGCTACAACAACAAAATTTCCCCGCTGAGTTAGCACAACAAGCCGAGGAGCTAAACTGAAGCTTTCTCGTCTTCGTCACCGGTTACTGCTTACACAGCGACACAGCCATCCAAAAGAAAGTCTCGTTCCTCCGTGCTTTCCGGTTCTATCGTTCTATGGTCACGCCATCCACGTGCAAATCCATATCCATGTATTATCCATATTGGGAGACGCTAGCTCCGTCAACAACAGTGGGTGTGTGTGGGGGGCGATAGCTTCGTGGGTGCGGGGAGGGGAGCAGAAAGAGAGAGGCCAGCGAGTCCGCGGCTTCAAAATCCCAAAGTCAGTTAGTGCAGCTTTAACCGCAGCCTGTTGAACCTGATGTTCACAAAGGTCTCCCATCACAGTACTAAATATGCCCTGCCCTGCTTAGCTTATAATAAATCTGGCTTTCACCTGCAGGTGGCATCTGAAGGGTTAGGGTTAGCACAAGGTCTGGGCGTCTCTTGCTGCTGGCCCTGTGACCCGGCAATGGATAAAACTAGGGGTATAACGATACGTTTTTAGAACGATATGATCCGTATCGATATGAGAGCAAATGATTTTGAATAAAAAAAGATGCAGTAATATTGGCTTTTTCTGTAAATAAATTTATTACAGTAATTCAAACTTAGAAATCTAACTCAGATTTAAAGTGCTGAACAAGAAATACAACTTTTTTACAAATTTAACAAAAATATTTATTTTGCCCAAGAGCTAACTTATAAATAACTCACATGAATAAAAAATAATAAAACAGATGTATAACAATGCAGTGCTTAACAAATGTTTGACAGCACCACCTAAGTGCTTAAAATTAAACAATATATGTTTATTTCTATAGTGGTTAAATAAGAATGAATCTGAAGCGGGATTTGATGGAAACAAGTCCAGACTTAACAAGGACTATTTTGTTATTCCAATTGATTATTTTCTTAATATTAGATGAAAATGATACTGTTAATTTGAAGTTCTTGATATAGTATTACTAAAGCTCGTTATGTTGTCATGACGATGGTCCAAAACTTTTGTTGAGCAGTGAGCACTGTACAGTGCTACACACTGAAGCCTTTAGCTCGTTTAGAACTTTGAAAATTGCAGCAACACCTTTTTTTGTCTCCGCTCTCGCACCGCAGTTACTGTTTTTGGATGCTGTTCCCTCGGATGACTCTTCATCCGTGGCGTTGGTACAGATGCGAAGAGAAGCGTAGCGAGAAGTGTTTTGTCAAGATTGCCCCCTTTTTTTGTTTTTTTTTTACAAAACCCGAAGTATCTCCTGACTGACGCAGGTTAAAGCCTCGCTGCTACTGCTGCTACCACTATCCAGGTTGTTGTCGTGAGCTTGTGACGTAAATTTACAGCGCCGCCGCAAAGGCTTGATGACACGGGCGAAAAACAACTTACATTTGTTTAGATTAACATTCAGACAACAAAGAATTTATAATTCTATTGCACGTTCTGACTATGATTTAATGAAAGAACTATATCGATACAATCGACATTTTTCCATTTAAAACAATGTAGCGTCTGTGCGTCTTGGCTCGAGGCCAGATAGCTGAGCGCCGATCGATGTAGTGGATCGCAGGGGAGACACATCGATACATCGATTAAATAGATGTATCGTTACACCCCTAGATAAAACGGAAGAAAATGGTTGGATGAATGTTAACAGTTCTCTTTAGTGATAATCGTGTCTTTACAATTAACTGTGCTATACATATAAACTTGGCTAATTTTTGTTAATATTTTTTTATTTGTGCTTGTACTGTGTACTTGTCACTCACAACATGGTGGTCTGCCGGGGGAGACGTCCTGGTTTGCTGTCCCTCTGTGGGAGTGTGGGGGGGCCACACTGCCGGGCCCCTGGGAGAGGAGAGACTGAGAAAGGAGACACTGGGAGAGGAGAGCCCGGGAGCGGTGAGACTGTGGAGGACACACAGAGGGAGACAAGAGCAGTGTGAATATTGTTTAAGACAAAGATGTTACAGTAAAAGAAACATTTGGAATTAGGAACATTTTTTCTTTTATTGGTCTCCGCTCTATTTAAATCGGGGGATCCTACCTTTCCCCCCTCAATTAATAATACATTTTGTTCCAGAAAGAATCTTGCAGATAAACATGTTGTCTTCTGTGTGAGAAAGAGCCCTGTGAGTCACTATTTGACTGTTTGGGTTGAGAGCTGATTGAGGCTGAGTGAGGGTGGTCTTCTCTTTTTCACTTACATAAATACATGCATGTG